GTCTGGGCGCCGCCTCCATCTTCTCTTTTTTTTTTTTTTTTTTTCCCTTGTTGGGCGTCGCCCTCTTGTCTTGTTCACCCTTTTTTTTTTGTTTCCCCTTGATGCAAAGTGAGAAGGGACTTTGGTGAGGAGTCCATGGGCAATGTGAGCGACGCCTTGAGTCTTGCACTAGGCGGTTGTGAAGGTGAGATGGGAGACTGGGCGAGATAGGAGGACCCATCCCCATGGGCGACGCCAGCGCCTTGCTGGGCGGCGCCTTCCTTGCTATGGACCCCTGTATGGCATCAAATGTAGGGCGAGACTTGGTGGGCGACGCCAGCTTGACAGGCGAGGCAGACAACATTGCAGACGGCTTTGGGCGTCTTTTCTAGGCGAGAGGGAGAGTTGGGCGGCGCTAGGAGAGGGCTGGTAGGGTGTTTTGGGCTCTGCCAGGAGGCTGGGCAGGCACCTTGGGTGTTGCTGGGAGGCCTTGGGCACTGCTGTGTTTGTGTTTGGGCGACACCTTGAGCCTTACTATGGGGGACGCCTCTATGGTGCTTGGTCACTAACTGGCACTGTCTCAGATTTTAGGAACTCTTGAAAGAGCGATGATGGAGGTGGAGGTTCTTTATGCTTTCTTCTCCTCCTCCCAAGAGGGTGATTTTTGATGCCTCCAGTACTTCTCGGTCAAGGTTCGATTGTCAGGTTACTTCCCGGGAGATGGGGTGGTGCCCCTATACTTTTTTAGACTAGGGACTTCTATGCTAGCCTTTGTACTGCTATAGGAGTCGGGACTCCTGTGCGATTTTCTATGGGGACTGTAGCTGCACATAACTGTCCTGCTTTGACCTAACATTGGTCAACGAGAGGCTTTGAACCTTAGGGATATCAGAGAGGCAGGCATAGTGGCTATTGAAGAGCAAGTAGGGCTCGAGTGACAGACACGAGAGGATGCCACAGAGCAGTAGGGCTCGGGCGACAAGCATGAGAGGATGTCGCAGAGCAAGTAGGGCTCGGGTGATAGACACGAGAGGATGCCACAGAGTAGTAGGGCTTGGGCGGCAGGCACGAGAGGATGCCGCAGAGCAAGTAGGGCTCAGGTGGCAGGCACGAGAGGATGCCACATAGCAGTAGGGCTTGGGTGACAGGCACAAGAGGATGCCGTTGAGCAAGTTGGGCTCGGGCGACAAACACGAGAGAATGCCGCAGAGCAATTGGGGTTGGCTCATGAATAAGGCGCTAAGCTAGTGATTGAGGCTGCTCGGGAGTAGAGGTAGAACTACGTATAGCTCAGAAGAGGGCTGTCGTGACAGAGACTTATTCCATTTGGATGGAGATAAGGAGAGCTCTCTCATTCCTTTGAGATGGAGATGAAGAGGGCTCTAAGGAGCAGGGCACCTGAGACTTATTCCATTGAGATGGAAATGAGGAGGGTGTTGAGGAGCTGGGCGCCTGAGGCTTATTCCATTGAGATGGAGATGATGAGGGTGCTGATGAGCTTAGTGCCTGGTGTCTGGTGTTGGGCACCTGAAGCTGGGCGCCTTGTGAGAGGGGGCGAGACCCATCATGGGGGCACCCAAGGTGGAGATGGCGAGACCTCTCGTTTGGGCGCCTGGTGAGAGGGGGTGAGACCCATCATCTAGGCCCGCTTGGTGAGAGGGGGTGAGACCCATCGCTTGGGCCCGCTTGGTGAGAGGGTGTAAGACCCATCGTCTAGGCCGCTTGGTGAGAAGGGGTGAGACCCATCATCTAGGCGACATCGAAGGAAACGCCAAGGTGGAGAAGGTGAGACCGTCATGGGGGCGCCTAAGGTGGAGAGGGCGAGACCCCTCATCTGGACGCCTTTTGACTTTTTGTCTACCTTGTTGTTGATAGGTCGTACGCTGTTTGAGATGAAAATAAGACAATTATGAAAACTTTAATCTTGCAAAATTTTATAAAATAATGAATAACAAAATAAATCAATTAAAATTGTAAAAGATAAATAAAATCTTCAAGCGTGTCCCATAGGTTGGCCGATGTTTCCTTGGCGGAGTTGTAGCCCTCAAGAGATTGTCTGAATTTCTCTGAGGGGTTGTTGGCGTTCTCTGTCGTCTTGGTAACGACCAAGTAGCCGGGCTTGTCCTCTGCCAACAACGTATTGCTTCAACTGACCACGCTGTATGAGCTCCTCTATCTGCCTCTTGAGCTCATTGCAGTCATTTGTGTCGTGGCCATGGTTGCGGTGAAAGTGACAGTACCTGTTGTGATTTTTACGGTTTGGGGCGAACTTTATTTTTCCTGGCCAACAGAGCGTGGGGTCATCCTGTATTTGGAATAGGATGTGCTCCACCGAGGCATTGAGTGTCGTGAAAGGTTGTCGGTCTCTCGGGGGGTACGGACCGAGACGGTCCTTCACAGAAACTCTTTCGATTCTCTTTTTCTTGTTCTCCGCCTCCCACTTGTCTTCACGGGTGTCTTTCCTCTTCTCCCCTCCTTGGGAGGACTCACCTTGACGGGCCTTGGTGACGTCCTCAGCATTTATGTATTTCTATGCCCTTGACAGCAGCTCGAGCATGCTGAAGGACTGCTTCTTGAGGACAGAGAACATGAAACTAGAGGTGCGGAGGCCGACGATAAAGGCGGCAAGAGATACCTTATCATCTGGCTCCTCAATCTAGAGAGCTTCCTCGTTGAAGCTGGTGAGGTAGTTTCGTAGGCTTTCATCTCTGTCCTGCTTGATGGTGAGCAGGTGGGTCACTAGTCTCTGATATCGGCGTCCCCCAATGAAGTGGGAGATGAAGGACCTGCTGAGTTCTACGAAGGAGTGGATGGAGGAGGGCTTGAGCTTGGAGAACCACTGGTGGGCAGACCCTTTTAAGGTGGTAGGGAAAACCCTACACATGATCTCCTCAAGCACATTGTGGAGTTGCATGAGGGACTTGTAGGTATCCAGATGGTCAAGGGCGTCTTTGGTGCAGTCGAAGATCTCGATGGTGGGCATCTTGAACTTCGAAGACAACGTGTAATTAATAATGTCAGTAATAAAAGGAGTATCAGTGCGCCTCACCAAATAGTCCACAGTTTCAGGCGCTTGTGCCTTGATGACGTTAAGGGCATTACCAAGCTGGTCCTACACTTCCCTGATCTTCTCATTCCACTAGTTGGGGACACATTCGATCGGGTGATGGTATTGGCTCTCGTGGTCTCCGTATTGACTTTCTCCTTCGTCCTCCTGCGCAGGCACGTGCGAAAGGGGAACACGTGGGTTCCTTGCCTTTGAGGAGGGATCACTTGATGAGGGGCTCCCTAGCGTTGCCCTAGAACATTCTGGCGAGGGACCTGGCTCCCAGAAGAGACAGGTAGTGGCTCCTCTCTCGTTGGAGGGAGTGGGACTCCTCCTGCGGGATGATGGGTGATGCCCCCTTGGTCGAGCATTAACTGGATCATCTACTGGTTTTGTTTCACCAACAGTTGCATAGTCCGTAAAAGCTGCTGCTGTTGTCCAACGGTGGGAGGCACCGTGGCAAAGGGTTCTGAAGGTGCGAGGGGAGGGGGTGGAGCCTCTTCCTGGTGCGCAGGGTTGTTGTCTCCCGGTTGATAAGACCTTGCTCAGGTCTTGATTGCCATGGATTGCAAGAAAGTTGAAATGTAGTAGAAACTTTATCGTTTCCCACAGACGGTGCCAAACTGATGATGCACAAAATTGTCTTCGTGCAAGATCAACAGTCAAGTATGTGTAAAGGTATAATTAATGAGTGACAAACAAGCAATCAATGACAATTAAGAGTAAAACCAGTAAATAAGTAACAAACACAAAGATTTATAGTGGTTCGGTCCGGGTGACCTATGTCCACTCTCGGGAATGGTAACGGCGGTCTGTGTTCTTTTATTGATGTTGATGAATGATAGTACTCTGGAGAAATACAGTGCTTTTAGGGAGACAGAGAGAAAACAATGAGTGTAAGGTTCGGAGGCCTTGGAGGCGTGGACCGCCCCCCTCAATGTTGAGAGGGTTTACATTATATAGTTAGGGTAAGACAGTAGAGGTGAATTCCATAGCTTTGACAAGTATTGTTATGGTAGGAGATTTTCTATGTCAATCTCCATATTATCTTCCCTCGTGTTCCTATTCATCCGGAGGAGAACATTAGTTGGATTGAGCTTGATATTATTTTCCCTCATGTTCCTATTCATTCGGAGGAGAACATTAGTTGAATTGAGTTTGACCTGTACCTGAACCTATCTTGAGTTGGACCTGGAGTTCCAAGGTGAAGAGGAGCAAATAGGGAGGCGCCTAAGGGGCCAGCCTATGCGGCGCCCAAGGGGTCAGTCCAGGCGGCGCCCAAGGCTGCCATGGGCGACGCCCATGGCTGCCATGGGCGACGCCCAATTGCTAAGTCTCTTGGGCGTGGACCTGGGCTTTGAGTGTTGATTTCTTGATGTCTTCCTTTCCAATGGGTCAATCCAGTTTAGAGTTGGACTTTCCTTCGAGCTTTATCGAATTGTTTTCATTGGGTCTAGTCTAGTTAAATTTGTGCTCATCACCTACACAACTCAAGAAATTGAAACCAAAATTTATATATTAGATGAGTGAGTCTCATCAATTTTTTCAGTGAAACTCATTTATCTAACACTCATTATTTAGATGATATGTATTTGAATTATATTTTTTATATTTTATTTGTGTTATGTCATATTTTTGTTGTTGTACTTTATCAGTTAAGAATTCTAGTTCATGTAATATTAGATAGATTTCTATTGAATAGTGACATGGTTACCGAAATTTATTTCTAGACATTATACTAAAAAATGGTATCAGGTCATTGATCAATTTTTAATTTAAATAAATAACTAAAATAGAATGGTTAAATAATATTTTGTACTCACCCAAAATAACAGGAAAAAAACAGGTGGTCCCTTCCAAAGACATACACCCCCACAACCGACACGTGGCACTTTAGATGAAAAAGGCCATTTTACAACCGGCAATGGCCGGTTACTATCCCTCCTAGTACTAAGCATATTCTTCCTAGTCCACGCCATATCATACCCAGACAAATCGAGGTTTGCGCAGTCTCGTCTTCTTCTTCTTGGTTTTCATCCTGTGGCGGCAGAGGAAATGACAGAAGAAGAAGAGGGAGAAAGAGGGGTGACCCTCGAGGATTTGAAGAAGAAAATGGCTGATTTTGCAAAGGAGAGAGATTGGGATCAGTTTCATAGCCCTAGAAATCTCCTCTTGGCTCTGGTAAGTGTATATGCCGTACCCCCTCTCTCTTCCTTCGAACCTTATTATCTAAGCATACCCACATTTCTCTCTCTGCTACTTATGTACGAATGTGTGGTATATTTGTCATGTGTGTGTTGGTGATGTGGGTTTTTCTGGCTTTACATGTTTTCTCTTTATCCATAACTTGTTTTGGCCTCAAATTAAACATCTGGTGATCTTAGTTTTGGTGAACTACTAACACAAAAATGGTGATGGCGGAATCTTAGAGCCACTCGCCTCTCTCTCTCTCTCTCTCTCTAACACACACACACACACACACACACACACACGACATGCTGTGATTTTCAACCATACCCATTGGTGAAGGCTTGCTGGAAGATGGGTTTCTGGAAATTTTGGTTGCTTTACTAGGGAGTATAGGAAATGCTGAGAAAAGGGCAGCCAAAACATTGATCAGTGCAGCTCTCTCGCTCTATGGTCGGCGTTTGGGGTCTGTATGTTTGCATAACTATGTCCTCCACCCTTCATATACTGGATGTTTGTGAGGAATTCACGAGGAAACTAGGAGAAACGTCATGTTTGGTGTTTGGTTACTTAAAGCATTTGGCTCAAATTTAAATTTCAACAGAAAAGCTTAAAATATTTATTCCATTCTTTGAATTAAACTTGTACCAAAGGAGGCTCACTTTTTTACTTAAATTAAAAGGAGATTCAAATTTTTATTTAAATTTTTAATGGTGAGATTTTATTATTTTTTTAAAAAGTGAATGATCATCTTTACTTTATTTTAATTTAGATTTGTCCTTATTTAAATTAAATTTTTTTTTAAAAATTTGAGTTTGACTATTGGAGCCATTTGTATCGAATTAAATTTTTTACTTGAATGTTAATTTAAGTTAATTTAAATTTGAGTAAACAAGTCAAAAAATTTTTATCGAACTTTCACTCAAATTTATACCAAATCAAGAGAGACTCATTTTTTTACTCAAATAAGGGGACATTCAAATTTTTATCTAAATTTTTAATGGTAAAATTTCAATAACTTTTAAAGATCTAATGTTTATCTTTATTCTCTTTTAAATTTGGGTTTGTCTTTATTTAAATTTGGGTTTCACTTTTTTAAAATTTTAGTTTGTGAATCGGAGTCATTTGTATTAAATCAAGATTATTACTTTAATTTAAATGAAAAATTGAGTTTGAAAATGCTCGAAGTTAAAGTGTAGGTAAAGAAAGATACTGTTACCAACTAGCTAGTTTGGCATGGTGGGAACCTTGAAATGGGTTTTCTATTTTGCTTCTTTCTTCCCTGTTCTATAGTTTTGCGGTAGTCTTATGTCATGTTTCCCACAATATCATATCACCCTAGTCAGAACATTGTGAACTCTCACATTGAAGTTAAATACACGAAACATGAATACAAGTGCTGCCCATCATTAGAGTTTATTTAATATAGGAAAATGCAGATGATAGATGATAGATTATAGTTGTTGAATTCATAATGGGTTCCAATTAATAGTGAGATCTATTGTCAATCTAATTGAGTAATGTTATGTAGACTTAAAAATTTGACTTCAATTGTTGACTTGATGTTGTGGTTTCATTGGAACAAAAGTATGAAAGGAAGTTTTAATGTTTGATAGGGTCTATAGTCAAAATTTTATGTTCAAATAACATTACTCTTAATTTATTGATTTAATTAATCATAATTATTGATATGATAGTAAATTTTAATATTAGTTAAAACTTCCTATCAATTTTGATAGATTAGATCGGTAAATTAAATATAAATAATATTATCAGAAAATTAATTACTTGAAAATCCACCAAGTGTGGTTTCTTATTGCAGAATGAGGATTATTATATGACTTAATTAATTTGATGAGGTTATAATAAAATTAAATTATTTTGGTCGAGGGTAATTCAATTCTTTTGAGAAGTAACTAGTTTTCAAATGCATAGCCTAATTTTTAAGTGAGCTGGAACTAATTCCGTAACTAGTTCATGTATATTGTAACCTGTGATGTAATACATAGTTGGGTATCCTAGTCTCGCTCTATTTGAAAAATAAATTGGGGATTAAGTGGGTTCGTGTTTGTTAGGTTGTTGTGTTTTTTGGCCAGACATGATAACAGGAGAGAACGACGAGGTTTGAACTGGCAATCATAAAGTTTAACAGTGAGGTAGTGACTATTAGGCAATGTGCTAACTGCAGGCTATTGTGTTTGATAGCCATTTTGGTGTGTGTTTTCACTTTTCAGGTGGGGAAAGTAGGAGAGTTGTCTGAGATATTTCAGTGGAAAGGAGAGGTCCCAAGGGGACTTCCCGATTGGAAAGAGGAAGAAAAACAACACCTTGGTGAGGAGCTATCAGACGTGTTGCTATACCTTATCAGGCTCTCTGACATATGTGGTGTTGATCTTGGTAAAGCTGCTCTTCGTAAGGTGGAAATCAATGCCATCAAATACCCAGTCAAGCTTTGCGAAGGCTCCTCTAAAAAACACACCCAAATCACCACCTCAGATGGCTTAGACACAACCACCACTACTACCACCACCACCACCACCAGTTCTGCCACCAACAGCAACCACCGTGGTCTATATGCTTATGGTCTTTGATATTCACCGACTTTATGATCCTACTGCTGTTGCTTCTTCTTTTTGTTACAGTAATAGAATCGTGTATTATAATATTTTGTTTTTATGTTGATACACTGTAATGAATGGATTTGCATCCTCTCAGTTAAAATAATGTTTCGTAGATCCAAAAACAGCGATCTAATTTATTAATTTTTGTGTTCTTAAGTCAATAATTTATGTCAAATTTTAGTACTCTTAAGAGTATTTTTAATAGGTTTTTCATTCTCGCTTAATTCTTTATATAGTCAATCAATCCTTAAAATTCAAGGGAGAATTTTGTTTTATAAAACAAAAAATCTTCCTTAAAAGAAACGTTGGCCACTTACGTAAAAGCCGAAATTTGTGCCTTCTTTTTTCTGATTGCGAAAAGATATCGTTAATCAGCGGAAATAGATAGCTTGATTTGACTTTTTAAATTTGAAGAATCAAATTTACTCTTTATTTTATAGTTAATGAATGAAAAAATGAAATATGTTCTGTTTTCATTAAATATTGTTTATTATAAAGATTATTTCCATTAGAATAAAGAGCTGAATTGGTGATGTTTAAAAAATTTGCCATGTACAGCTTTTCTACAACTTTGACTCCATCACTCAATCACAAAATATGGTCCATGTTCAAATATTAATGGTCCCATTTGGGTAAAAGCATTTGGTCAGCAATTTGAAGAAAATGCCGGGAAAAACTAATGCGAGAATGATTAGGCTTTTGTAACTTTCGAAGCTTTTTCTTGCTACATTCTCTCTATTATTGTTTGAAATCAATTTAGGCTAAGCCGTGTGCAACACACGTTGTATATATATCTATACAATAAAATAATTAGATTTTTTTGTCTTTAACTTTTCTCGGCTCAGATCGTTTGAAGAGATATTGATCCGAAGGTCCTAATACGAAAAATCCTCACTCTCCCAATTTTTTTAGTAAGACTTTCATTCATTCTATAATTTTAAGACTCATATATCTCTTATAACTCTCTATTTCATATTACACATTAATTAGGTCGTTAATTATGATTCTAATTAAAGATTATTTTTAAAAATTTTAAATAAACAAATGGACCTAAAATAAATATTCTTTGCCTCAAAACGAGTCAAATGACTATAACATAGGTCATATTTTGTAAATATATATTCGAATGGTATATATATATATATATATATATATATATATATATATATATATATATATATATATATATATATATATATATATATATATATAATGTGATATATCTATACACTAAGGGTCTATCATTATTTGTCTTGAATTTTTCGTGGCTCAGATTATTTTCAAATTATTGATCTAATAATCGAAATTTTTCCTCCAAAAATTTATTTTACTCGATTATTGATTCGAAGTGATTATGATTAGTAATTAAATTTGGCTAAATTTAATTATCGAGTATATACTATATATTCTTACTTAAACTTAACTTTACTTGAATTTTACAAGTATTTCAGTTGAAGTCAAAGTGAAATTGATTGTAAAAACAATAAAGAATAACTAAATTAAAAAAAAAAGAAGTTATGACATCATAGTAAACGAAAATAAATAAGAATTAGTTTGTAGGTTTAAGATAAAAGTGTTAATTAAGTCGAACTTAAATTCAATTTTCTATTTGATGTAATTATGATTAAGACTCGAATTGAACCGAATATAACTGTCGTGTATAAAGTATAAATTTTTGCTAAAACTTAAAAAGTGGGTTTATTCCCACACTGAAATCTCCATTCCCACTCCATTTCATTTCTCATTATTAAACTATTAAGTCTATTCTTTCTATATTCATCCCATCTTACATACATCCCTTTTAAAAAGAAAAGAACGAAATAAGGAAAAAAAATAACAAAGAAAGAAGCAAACCAAAATAAAAAGGAATAAAAAAATCAAGCAAAAATTAAAGTAACAAGTAAAACTATAAAATGCGAAACTACAAGATGCAAAATCGGATATGAAAAAAAAAAGTATCAACCTCAAACGCAAAATCAAACAAGGAAAAAAATAAGAAACATAGATACAAAACCTAAACAAGATTAAAAAAATAACAATTAATCTGAAAATTATACATATATACACACACATATACATTCTAAATAAAAAATTATTAAATTTGACAGAGATATTTGTAACATCCCAAAACACACCCTAAATGACCTTTCATTCTAAAACCATTCATATCATGATAGCACTAATATAATCCTTTAAGAAACAAGACTGCATTTGTCATCCACGAATATTTACAATATTATCCAAAAGAATAAGCCCAAGTTATGACTATTACATCTCAAAAATTAATTAAAGAAGCGCAGCGAAATAAACAAAAAAAGTTAGACTACACAATGTTCCAAAAGAATGTCATAGTTTAGTACAAAAGGAAAGGAGGTCGCTCTATGCGTCTACCTCGGGATCCATACTCCCGTCCAGTGGAGTCTCCCAAGTAACGGGCTCCTCGACCCTTACGTTTTCCTCCTCAAGTGAGTAATTTGAAAAATGTTAGCGATAGGGGGTGAGTACGAAGTTCTGTAGAAAAATTCTCCCAAACCCATACAAGGTTTAGAAAAACATTTAAAATGATCGGTCTCAATTTTAACATAACATAGATACATAATTTAAAATAAAGCAGTGACATTTCAAAAGGATCTCAAGTTTGTTTAAAAACATTACTTAAATGAATAAACGAGTACCACATATAAATAATAATCATTAATTGCTATAACCAATTCCTAACAATTCTTTCGGTAGATGGCATACTTTCTGGTAACCTCCACTCCCCTTTAGGTCATCTTTGATTCTCAAGCATCCTTACCGGGAACTTCTTTAAAATGAATGAGCATCCTTACATGGAACCTCTCACCAATCACTACATTATTTTCCAAGCATCCTTACCGGGAACCTCTTGGGAAAGTGTGAGCATCTTTACAAGGAACCTCTCACTCATGTGCATCACAAACAACCCAACCAAGCATACAATTCCAACATTTATCTCAATTTACAAGCATCTATCCAAAATCTCTAAAATATATCATGTAACAATTTCACAACCAACTAAGAAAATACATGAGATCACAATAACATCATTTTTCTACCCAACACAAAGCACTAAGGTTTCGAAATCCATAATAAAGAAAGCATTTAGGAAGAAAATACATCACTCTCCAAAAATTAGGGTTTTAAAACTAGAAAAGAGATTTCATGGGTATTAAACCCTACTTTGTTCAAAACATGTAATCCTTGCAAAAAGCATAAGAGAGGATGATTCCATAGCATATATATACCACTGATAGCCAAAACATACATATATAAATACCCTAGCCTCAATGTAAGTAAATGAGAGAAAACCCCTACCTTGAATCCTTAGCTTTGGTGTGAAGAATAAGAATATTTGATCTTGAATCACCCTTGAATCTCTTGTTTTTTCCTTTCTTTGTTCCTCTCTAATGCTCTCTAGGGTTCCAAGAGATGTGAGGGTGTGAGGGGAGTGAAATAAATGAGAGCAAATGAGATGAAAATGAGTTTAAAACATAGCTACCCCGAAAAACACTGTTCACAGGTTGTTTTGGGTTTCTTCAAATTTACGATTTTGCCACTAGGAATCTCCAATTTGATCCATATGACTACCCTAAGATTTGTTGATGTTCCGAATTTATTTTTAATGTTATTTTAACCTAAAAACATTTATTTTTATGATTTATCTCAAAACCTAAGTCAACGTACACCCGAAACATTAAAGTTTCTATTTTACCCATCCGAATCGGCTATTAATGAAGTTTTGCGATGTTTGCAAATAAAAGGTGATAAAGGGTGCTTCTTAAAACCTTTTATACTTATTTGAAGTCTAAAAGTACTCATTATTCTTATATTTTGATTTAGGATGCAAATGAAGACATTAAATGCAAAACGAAGCTAATTGGACTATTTTGACTTTGTTTCGTTATCTGAGCATAACTCTCTCATCCGAGCTCCGATTGAGATGATTCAAGATGCTATGAAATGATAAGAAAGATCTCTAAAACTTTAATGTTTTGAGTTTTGAGAGATATTGACTGCATCAAGGTCTAAATCGGACTTGAAGTTACAGCCAGTGCACTGTTCACATGCACTGTTCAAGCTAATTGGGCTGTCAAAACAGCCCATCGTTATCTGGGCATAACTCTCTCATCCGAGCTCCGATTGAGATGATTCAAGATGCTATAGAATGATAAGAAAGAGATCTAAAATTTGCATGTTTTGAGTTTTGAGAGATATTGACTGCATCAAGGTCTACATTGGGCTTGAAGTTGCAGCCAGTGCACTGTTCACTGTTCAAGCTAATTGGGCTGTCAAAACAGTCCATCGTTATTTAGGCATAACTCTCTCATCCGAGCTCCGATTGAGATGATTCAAGATGCTATAGAATTATAAGAAAGAGATCTAAAACTTTTATGTTTTGAGTTTTGAGAGCTATTGACTGCATTAAGGTCGAAATCGCGCTTGAAGTTACAGCCAGTGCACTGTTCACAGCCTGTCTTCGTCCCTTTTCCATTTCCAATCCATTCCTAAGCCAACCAAATCCATCCCAAACCTCTCCAACACATATTTCTACACCAAACCTATTTAATACAAGTTCTAAGACCTAAAATTTCATATTTTCACTTATTAAAACTAAATTTCAACTATTATTTCCACTAACATTTTAAATTTCTACTTTTTCAATCTACCAAATTCAAACACACATCACTACATATATCCTCATTTTTTTACCACAATTATTTACTATATATCTATATACATATATAAAAGAAAATACGGGGTGTTACAATCCACCACCCTTAAAGAAAGTTTCGTCCTTGAAACTTACCTCAAGTAGCGAACAAATATGGATACTTCTCCCGCATTTCTTGCTCCGGTTCCCATGTAGCTTCCTCCACTCCATGGTGTTGCCAAAAAACTTTCACCAATCTGATAACTTTGTTGCGAAGCACTTTTTCTTGGGCGTCGAG